TCTCTCTCTCTCTCTCTCTCTCTCTCCTATTTTTAAATATATATACACGTTCCACAATCTTGCAAGTGGAAAAATAATAGTACATCATTATTTAATACTACTTCCTATTCTTTTTAAATGTCATTTTGTCATTATCAACTATTAACAAAATAAATATCGTTTTGAATATTTTGTACATATTTTTCTATTATTACCCTCATCTAGCTAATAAATATACTACGTCTTTTCATATTCACTCTTCATCTTTTCTCAAAACATTAATCTCTATCCTCATTAATGAGGGTTATTATTGGTAAAAAAAAGATATTCTTAATAACTGTGCAACTTCTCAAAACGACACTTATTATGAATAGGAGGGAGTATGAAATAGTCATCGTGGAGGCCCGCTTATAATTTTTGTCGATTTCGACGGGCATTTGTCTTGTCGACAATTGGGACATCTATCGAGGGCGGCTTCTTCGAATTATGTTCGGCTCGGAAACGGGCAGACTCGCCATCTGGGGACCCAGTCGGCTTTTTGATGATCAACCTTGCGTATATGTTTGTGTATTTATTTATCTTGTATTTCCGGCTTATTGGTTATGGGACCGCTCTTTATTATTTCGTTGATCATTTAATTAATAGAAGCCAAATTGGGTATCAACATTATGCATATCAGATAAGTAATATCAAAATTCAATAAATAAATATGATGCATATTAAATAATTAGTAGCAATAAACATGAAAATAAATAATTTAAGTATTGTAGACATTAGTAACAATCCAAGAAAGATGTGAAAACTGACAATACAGTCCATATTGGAACTGACTTTCCTATTAGTCTAGGATTTCTAACCTGTCACATGTCACACGTGCGTAAATTCACCACACACAAAAAAAAACGCAACGTCCTTGCCAAAAATTTCGTCTGTAACTGATCAAATATCATCTGGAAAAAAAGTCTAGCATAAGAACGTGCGGTCAAAGAAATTGCGTGTGATTTGTTTCATTTAGGAAGTAAATCTATCTCATTAACAACCAAAACAAAGAGATTTCACTATGTGAGATTGATTTAATTAATTGGATTTTAAACTTAAATATATCAGCCAAATGCAAGATTTTTTAAATTTTAATGAAAAATATTTCCATATAAAATTAAGAAGGCTCCGCATAATATGAGAGATGTAAAAGACTTTAAATAAAAATACGAAGTATTCAAACTTCAGAGTTTAGTATTTATTTAGTTATTATTATTAACTTATCTATAAATATCTATTTTTTGTAAATGCATGATATGTAATCATAAATATTTTAGTTAAAAAGTATCTATTTTATTGTCTAATTTATTGAGCACAAAACAAAAATGTGAAATATTGACATATTATTTTTATTGTAATTATTTATACATAGATTAAAAAAGTTCTAGGGATGTCTGAAAACTTAGGGGGTGATTGTTTATGAGTTGTACAGTAATTTTTTTTACTCAAATTCAAATTTAACTCAACTTTAACTCAACCCCACTATCTCCAATATTATTATATAATTAAATAACATCAACAAGTCATTATTACATATCACATCAACTTTAATTCACTATTCATCTACTCACATAATTTTAACTAATTTTAACTAACTATCACTTCCAATCATTTTCTCTTACTTTTACATCAAATCAACTTTAACTATTTTATTTTAAATACTATTTTAATATATTCACTAACAATTAACCATACTACTTTTTCTTAAACTTAACCATAATTAAAAAATTCTAGATTTTTTACTATTCAAAACATAAACAATCACCCCCTTAACTACCTAATGAAATATTTGATTTCAAAACAATGTAGATATTATAATTATATAATTATTTGCTACGTTTATGGTTTGTAATTATCCGATAATTCTAAATTCTTTCTAATTTACCATAGTTTTTAGGTATTCTCAGAAATTTTGAGATTATTTAAATTAATGAGTACTTTGAATTATTCTTTTTTATTTTAGTAAAGTGATTCCAATTTTTTGGAAAGATTGATAAATATTTTAATTTGTATATAATACATGTTAAAATGGAAAACGAAAAAATATTTTCAACATCTTAAGAAATTAAACTTTAAAAGCAAAAGAAAAAAAAAAAAGAAAAAGATGTAATATTGGAAAAGCAAAAAGAGAATATAGGAAAGAATAAAAAAAGTTAGTCATTCTTCATAGGAAGAATTTAGAATTAATATTCGACAATTTATTCTAGATATATAATTAAGAATATTAAAATCAAATCAAATCAAAACAATATCGACTAAAAAAGGGAAAAAAATAAATATGGATATCAAGATAAAATGCATTGCATATCTATTAAAAAAAGACAATTCATGTCAATTTCAAAAAATTTGATTTTTTTTTAAAAAAAAAAATCATGGGTGAAAATTGCCCAAAACTTTCAACAAACATTTCCAAAAGTAGTAATAAACCGAAAATTTGAGCGGGAACTGTCATGCTATTTTTATATATATATTTTTTTCTTATTGCTATATATATATATTATATAGTAGATGATTCGAGAACATTAGGCTCTAATGTAATGAATTGAACTCATATCCTCACATATCCCAACAGTAAAGTTTGAAGCCGTCGATGTTTTACATAGTTGCACAAAGCTTATAAGTATGATTTCTACTCATTAATTTGGTCAACACAATAATTTCGAAACACTCAAATGAAGTGATTCTACTCAATAAAAAAAAAATAATCACACTTGATATGAGTTTATGAATAACATCAAATAATGTACACCAAGCCACACTCTCCATACTACCAAACAGAACACCCCGAAAAAAGTCCTTCTAAAATCAACTTACAAAAGTTTTGAACTTGTAGAAGCAAGGACAAAAGTGGAAATTCAAACCATACAACTTTCTTATATAATACCACCACAGCCCCAAACTCACTCCCTCCCTCCCTCAACACAAAAATGTTAACCAAACCCTTGACACTCCTCCTCCTCCTCCTCCTCCTCCTCCTCCTCTTCACCCGAACCTCCTCCGAACCCTGCGGCAACAAGTGCGGCAGCCTCCAAATAAAGTACCCCTTTGGTACGGGCCCCGGCTGCGGCGACCCTCACTTCCAACCCTACATAACATGCAACCCCCAACAGCAGCAACTCACCCTCTCCACCCACACCGGTTGCTACCCGGTCACCTCCATCGACTACGCCACCCAACTCCTCCGCATCGCCGACCCCACCATGTCCACCTGCACCTGCACCCGCCCCAGCCGTGGCTTCGGCCTCGACTGGGACGCCCCTTTCTCCTTCCACCACTCCACCGTCTTCGCCCTCCTCGACTGCAACAACGCCTCCTTCTCCTCCTCCTCCTCATCTTCCGCTGATCATCATTTCCCTATGTGCGACATGGAAGGGGCCGACATTTGCACCTTCCTCTACTCGTGCGAGGCCGTTGGCAGGCTCAGCCTCCCGGTGTCCTCGTGCTGCGTGTACGCGCCAGTCGACCTGGGCCCCGCATTCGAGATGGACCTGGGGAAGCTCGGGTGCGGATCCTACTCGGCCGTGTACGGGTACAATGGCCAGCAGTCCAACCCGCAGGTCTGGGACTATGGGATCGCCATCAACTACAAGTTCAACTACGCCAACGATTATCCGGGGCGCTGCGCGAGCTGCGAGAAGAGCAACGGCGTGTGCGGGTACGATGTGGGCCCCGCCGGGACTTTCCTTTGCAACTGCCCTGGAGGGGTTAACACGTCCACCGATTGTTACTATGGGCAGAGTTGGAGCTCCACTGGTATTGCATTTGATCTTGAGGTTTTTTTGTTCGGTTTTTTTACTGGAACTGAACATGCATGGCCTTTTGAAATTTTGTGTTTTGCAGGGACTCTTGCAGCCTTTTCCCTGACATGGTTCTGGTTCGTCGGCATCTCGGCCTTTGTGTAGCCAGACTCTGGAAAAGGGGAGATTTTAGAAGCGCACGAGTCATTCTGTGAAAAAGTAACAGATTGGGTTTCAATAAATTGTGGATATATATGTTGCCTTTTCATTTCATGGTGTAACATTTTAATTACTTTCTCAATGTAAGTCCACTTATTTTTGTTTGTACAGACTGATGGTCAATCTTGAAAATTTGAAATTTATTCTCCAACTGACTATAATTGTGGAAGTATTATAATTCTGGGAAATGCTACGGTCCCGTTACGGAACCATCCCGTCGAGAGTTTTAACTGTTTGATACACATGTAGTTAGTATAAGATAGATGATCTAACGGTTAAAACTCCCGACGGGATGGTTCCGTAACGGGACCGTAGCACTTCCCTATAATTCTTGATTCACCAGTCAACAAGTGAGCATTACCAATTGTTTCCACAACAACACTAATAAAACCTATCGACACATCTAAGAACCCTTGAAATTCAATAGTGCCATCTTCTTAAAATTCGCCTTCATACTATGGCACATATTCTCACCAGTCCTGTGGGGTCGAGACAATTGCAGAAAAATATGTGACGTGTTCCGAGTAAAGAGTGGAGCTTTTAAGCCTCAAGGAATCAGCAGTAAATAAAAATTTAGTAACAGTTAGATGCAACAATAATGCTTGTAGAGAATAAGTTCCTTGTGAAAAAGTGCCTCCCCACCCTAAAAGGGAATCATTTTCCTTTACAAAATGCTGTCTTTCTTATATTCCCAAATTCCATGGGGAAGCTTCATATGTATAAGAATAGTAAAGGTAGCGCTTATCTCTCAATATGTGCTCCCAGCATCATTTGCTTCCCCACAATGTGCTCTTGCTAGTACTAGAAATCCTCCACTTGTACTACTTTAAAGGGTGCCTGCCATAATATATACGTCTGAGTCGAACACAAACACAACTAGAAATTACATAAATCGTCACAAAAATCTTTACCTGTGGCTGGTACTCCTTGACTCCAAACTGAAAACTTCATGTGCCATTCACCAGATTAAGAGCTGATAAACATAAGTATATTAATCAAACCATGTAGTTACAATTATTTCGCAAAACATGCATTGGGCTTTATTTAGCTGCAGATATTCTTGTTGAGCTTACTCTTTGCAATGTCATAGCAAATTTTGATGACTGGGCTTTATTTAGCTGCAGATATTCTTGTTGAGCTTACTCTTTGCAATGTCATAGCAAATTTTGATGACAGATTCACGCTTTAAAGTCAGCTTGGTGTTATCACTACCCTGTCCACATTTTTTTCCCTACAATATTGTATAACTCTACAGTTAAACTAGACGGAGGGAGAAAAAAAAAAAAAAAAGCAGGCGATTAACAAAACTGAAGAACACTTATATGTCTAATTCTTGCATACAACTCTATATATGCTAACCAACAGGAGCAGCAGAAAATAGTATCAATATAATCATAAAAAGGGGGGCCATAATTCCTAGTGCCTCTGAGCCATAACAATACAAAAACGGGGCTTGGAATCATGATTGAAGTTGGTAAAACCGAACAAAGAAGAAGGAATCAAATAGAGAAATAACAGAAAAGCCCCCAGGCCTAGCTAGTCAGCTACTAATTGAACCATGTACAAGTTGATCCAAAAGAAAGAAAGAAAGAAAAAAAAAAAAAAAAAAAAAAAAAAAAAAAAGGTTTCTTGGTTTCGTGCTCTCAAATGTTTCATTTTTGTCACAAGGGTTCATCTCATATTGCATCATTGGGATTTACCAAGAAGTTCTAATTTTGCCCATAATAAACATGTCATCTGTCTTGGGAGACTGGTAATGTGCTGGGTATAACCTTCGATACATCCAAATTGGCATAACTTCAAGTTGTGCACATACCCCACTGGCGTGGAGCTGTTGACCTTTCCACTCACATTCCCAATCTCACATCTTCCATTTTGAACAACTGTGCCGAGAGGAAAAAGAAAACAAAAGATTATATATATATATAAGCTCATGCTAATAGAAAAAAATAGCCAGAAGCAACATCAAAACTGAGATGAAAACACGCATGAAGTGTAGGATAACACTTTGGGACCTCTGTATAGGTCGCTATTTGACTATTTACCAACTTCCTGGAATCTTTACATTTATCTCAAATTGTTAGTCATCAAGAATTTGCAAATGAATCAGTTGAATTGAATTTTTCCCCTTCCTTTATTTCCATGTAGGTAACACATCACAGTTTTCTGTGAATTTATTCCAAAAGTACCCTTAAGGTTTGGCCGATTGAAACAAGCCATATCTCGTTTTCACCACACAAAAAGATACCCCTGAGATTTTATTCCGTCCTACATCCGTATTCTGTCCTACATCCAACACCACCCCCTAGGTAAGAAAAAGTATTCAAATAAAAGAAAACATATATATAAAAATTAATACAATTAGCTTATTTTTAACAGAGAACTTTGGGTGCCTTTGTAATCTTAACAGTTAGGTGGTTTTGTTTTGTATTTTTACCTTCTGTAAAGTACAGGTCTCAAAGTTGAGTTGGCATGAAGCAACACTCACAAATAAAACAAAGAAAAAAAGGCCAAATCAACTTTAAGTGAATGCATCTAAACTAGCTAATTGCCAAAAAAATAGTGAATTCCAAGCAAATCAGCGGAATTACAAAAAATTAAGAGGTTGAACTTTTGCCAGGTCACCTATAGAGCAAAATGTCAATCTAGCTCAACAAAATGGCACGTCTTCCCCATATAAGTGTACATTCACATTCAACTTCAAGCCTATCCTTTGCATGCACAAACACAAGGAAAACTGTGAAAAAAAAGCAAAAGCACATACTCTCAGTTTAAGTTCATATTGAGCTATGTCAGCTGACACAATATAGCCAGGTCCATTTGCATAGGGTGGATAATCTTCCTCTGGCCATTCCTAGGATCACCAAACAGAAAAAATGTAAATGAGCAAGCAAATGCATAGTAATCTCAGGCCCAAACAAATTATTCAAAGGCAAGAAACTCTCATAGTGACCAATTTAAAATACGCTTCCAATCTTTCATGCACATCGTATCAATGAACAGAATCACCGGGTCACCTAATTAAGGTTTACAATGTATAAGTGACAGTTACCGACATTGCTCTTGAAAGAAGAAACAGAGTACAGAAATCATCTAAGAAATAGTATACGTATCAGAAAAATGCATGAAAAGGTTTTTTCAACTTAAAGATCCACGAATAGCAAGTTGGCAAGTTTGGCATTACCATGTATTCCATTCCAAATATCGTAAATGCGGCTACTGATATCTACACTCTACACAATAATTTAGACATTAATATAAAGTAAATTATCAACCAATCATGCAGATTAAATTTCATGCCAGTACTTGACATATTTCTGTGAATATGTAATTATGTAAAAAGACTTACATTAAATATCTTCCAACTACAATAATTTGGGCCCAAAGCAATAGACAAGATATATACCACATAAATCATGGAACAAGAAATACCTGTAAGATATCATACCTCGTATGTGACTGCCCATTTACCATGCCTTGAGGGCTTGTGGTAGTAATTGATATTCCAAATATAGAAGCTTCTACCAGTTTGGATCTTGTTCACTTCCACCATCACAGCATCTATCCTCACAAATGTATCATCGTCACATTTCATAACATAATTAGTTGCCACCGTGCGAACCTGAAAACAACCAAAATACATAGACATAAAAAAAAAAGGGAAAAGGATTCAAAATTCAAAAACTAGCACAACCGACTCACCCATACTCGCAAATTGCAATAGTCTTGGGCACAACGATATCAAGTTTATCCATGTAAAGAACTACAGCAATATCGCCAAAATACTCTGCCTCTTTCATCAGCTTCATATTCAGTTCCTTCCTGGCATGCTGTCAAGGATACAAGTTCAAGCAATAACTAAGTAACTTTATATTTACATTAAGAGCTAGGCTTTCATAGGAAACATACTTTTTGACTGAAACTTCCACCTCATGTGGATTCTCACCATGGCCACAAAAAACCGAGCAACAAATTTTGCCGAATGAACTGTTTTATACTACATCCATGATTTTCTGACTGCCATGCGCTCGGCAAAATGATATCCTGCAGAGAGGATGCCAATAAAGAGCTCCACAGGTTCAGTTGGAAGATTGAGTGCTTTCCACCTTGGAGAATGTTCTAGATGCTTCTGTGGAGCGGTGCTTGGATGAGAAGCGGGCAAAGAAGCAGCAATTATAGAATGAATGTCAACATCCCCATTGATGAACAGCCCTGTGGCGTCCTCAAGAGTGAAACCCTATCAAGATCAGGCGAATTTGGGATGTCAGGGTATGTCAATGATCCTTAGAAGACTTCAATCATTACATGTTACAAGACTATGTTATAATTACACATAAACCCTTGAAATAGGGATCATTACAAAAACATGAAAATTTTGATAATTTCCCCTCAAAAGGGTTTTGATGTTTGTTCATGTCTAACATTGTAGCCCATCCGCTTAAGAAAAAATAAACCTCAAGGGGTTATAAGCATTTTTTTAAAGAAACCTTGGGTTTTCAACAAATACACCAAGCCTCAGGGTCTTTTGCCTATCTTTTTTAAGAATGAGCCGTTATGTGCCCGGAAAGTAATATGTTAGAGCTTCTAAGATGCCTTACATAATTATAATAGTCAGACAGACCCAAGGTAGCAAAATATCAACTTACTTTGAAGAGGGAAAAAAAATATAAAAGTAAAACAACTTACAAGTTCCCGATGTGTCTCACCTGCTATGATCTTCTTTATTAAAAAAAAAAATAGACGAAATTCAGTTTAAACACTAGTAGAGGTTTGTAAGTGGTTATAAGTTCTGCCAAACACCATATTACTAAAGCAGTACTCACATGACGATAAAGGAAAGGATGAAATATGCCTCCCATCTACATTGATGTGATAGCCTTCCAATCCAGCAATAAGAGTAAGCACAAACAACATGTTCTCTGCAAAAAGAAAGGGCCAGTCAACAAGTAACTTTCATTGTCCTCCCAATCAGCCTTTTCAAACACCAAGTGGCTTTTGATTCCTCGGACCCATTATCATTATCATGTATCCATTTCTCACATTTCACCTGCCCATCAACTTCATATTAAAGAAAACATGTTATTTCGTGAACAAATAAATTCAAAGACAAAAGATAACATACTTTGAATGAGTACGCACGAGCAAACAGTTGACGACTGCTAGCACAGCTTTAACAATTAAACCAACAGCAAGAATTATTCGCCAACTAAACAACCCGAAACCAACACACGCAACCTTACCAAAGTTGCAACGGTAACTCTAGATTGTGAAAGTACCTACCAATATTTAAAAAAGGAGCAACTGAAAATCAGTTTTCAGATAGTCAAAAAGTATATTCACATTCTACATTGAATCGACCAACCAACATCATTCCAAAGAGAATAAACAGAAAACACAATGAGCAAAGGAAATAAACATCTACTGGATAGCACACAATCAATCTACAAAAACGAAAAGGGAAAAAAAAAAAGAAAAAAAAAAACCCTCACCAGTTTCCTTGTCAGCCCTCAATTTACATCCCTCACACCGCTGCGCAGACCCCCATTGCATCCTTTAGCACATGTTCTGCTCAATCACGGGCTTTCCACTCCAATCCAATTTCAACATCGAATTAACATGAATATTCTAAGTGGGTCCTCCGCGTCCATCATGAACTGCGAAACCATCATGTGCTCCTTCACCAGGGCTATCTCGGATGAGCTATCCATGCGGCCCCACCTAGGATGTCAACCACAGTGGTGTGGGACCCCCAATGACAGGCCACAGGATATCACCACCATTCTCCCTTCCTTCACGAACTTATGACCCGTCAACACCGCCGACTGTTGGCAGGGCTCGTCCACCCTCTTCCCCGTCTGATTTTCCACCTCACTTGGCATCATTTTACCCAAATTCAAATCCTCCTAGATTTTCTTCCCCGACACGAATGTGTCCCTAACTACTTATGAATGAAGCTCGGTATCAGTCTTTGCCTATGCTGTTACAGGTGTCGTCATCGAAAATGAGGCCCGAAATCTTCTTCAATTCCCCGCCGTATTGTATTGTTATATAACGGATATTAATTTACGTTTTAAATCATCAAACATTATAAATTCAAATACTTAGAAATTAATATATGAGAAATCAATCGTACGATACCATAAGACTTTATAGAAAATTCAAAATCAACTTTATTGTGTTGTAGATAACATTTGCTTTGAACATATATAATTTAATAAATATAATTAAAGATTATTATTTTCAACAAATCGAACATGAATTTCATGTTAAATATTATCACTTCTTTAGTTTTTTGTTTTTTATAATTTAACAATAAAAATAGAGTACGCAGTAGTGTTCGAACACAAAAAATAAAAGCAGAAGCAACTAACTTAAAAATCTCTTCGGGGAGCGTCCCAGAGCTCTTTCATTAATAGTTCGGTTTGCCCGCACAAAGTAAAATAGAGGCTACAACATATGCTATCAACAGAAGTACAACTATAAACATCAATCAACCCAAAAACCAAGTATCTTGCCACTTCAAATAACAAACCACATCTACCGCGTATAGAACCAATTTAATAGTCACCCAATCAAAATACTCATTGCACTATTAGACAATTGATTACAACAAACAGGACCATATAACAAAAATATGGATTTTAGCCATAACATAAAACATTCCTTAGATTCAAGAAACAAATAGGAAAAAGAAAGAAGGAAAGAAAGCAACCAAGGAAAAGAATAAAAGAAGAAAATAGAAGAAGAGGGGAAAAGATGAGTTTCTATAAATAGAAATCACAGTGTAGATTAGAACCTAGAATTAGTAGAGAATCTCGTTGGCCCACTACCGACTGCAGCGCTACTTCGCTTTCGCTTGAAGTATATAAAAGAACCACTGCTTATTAGCATAGCTAACATAAGCGCCTGCACATAAATAACAAAATTCAGAAGTAGAAAACAATGTCATATGCTTATGCAATGAAAATAACTTATAGTCGAGTATGAAACATACGACTTAATATTATCTATACTAAAGCTGCTGGCTTTTATCCCCTTTCAAATAGTTTATGGCAATTAATTGGGAGCCCTTTCTCCATCATATGGCATATAAACATGAACAAATTTATGCGGCCTCCAAATGCAATCTCTTTCATCAGTTTCGCACCATATCAAAATCAAGACTAATAAAGAGAGGCACATAATTAAAACCCAATTCCAAGTACACACTCACTTCACAACCTCAAACTGCCAAAAAAAAAATAGATAAAAAAAAAACATCAACTTGTCATCTCTCAAGCAAATTGATGATGGTAACTAATTTATCGACTTTCATAATTAAGAAATCCTGATCAATGGAACTTTCATCTCAATATTATTGAATAGAGCATCTGCACGAAGCCCCATCCACTGTACTCTATCAAGAGTCACCCCAAGCATTACTAAAGAAGAAAAAATGAGAGAAAGTTCAGTATTTTCTTTGCATCATTCCCAATATATAATGCCACCTTTCTCTAAGCTATTGCTTGACATTTATTTACAAACATTATTCTAACATATGGGTATCCTGCATAAGCAAAACTGATCTCCAACTATTCCCTGATTTTTTACTTCTTACAAGTCACTCCACTACAGTTTAACTATAGCATTTCAGATAAATCCCATTGAAGTACATGTTTCAAATAATTAGCCCAAGCCCAAATATAAGTTCTTCTCGACCTGGCAAGGATTCATTCTTTAAAAAAATTCATCAATTAGAATTGGCTTTTTGAAAGTTTCGAAGCATAAGAACAAATCAACATCTGAGTTAAAGTACAGGTTTTTTCCAACTAGTTTATAATCCATTTGCTTCTAATTCACTCTCTACCATCCCTTGCAACATTTTTCCAGCCTCACGAGTTAAATTACTAACTCGCAAAATAGAAACCAAACCCGCTCACCTCATACAATTCTTTTTCTAGACATTTTTGACAAAAAAAGGATTACCTTTAAAAAAGCTAGGTTGCCTATTTCACCTTTTATATGAAAGTACATTTCAGCATAATTTTTTTTTTTTTTCTTTTTCCCAAGCCTGGCATAATACCATAACCATTCAAACAAGTGCTGTCCCATGCATCTACTATGTCAAGGAAATTAATATCTCAAACAAAACAGTTTATGTGGAAATAATCCTCTAACACATTCAAATTGGTGTTATCAATGGCGGATGGCAGATGGCAGAAAATGGGGGCAGGCTAAAATGCAGCCATAGCAGTAGCCATTGCAACTGACATAACGCCATCTTCACAAGTTTCTAATGGCATGGCGGAAATTTGATAACACCCAAATTAGTTTGCATATTTGAGGTGACCAGAAAATCACATACATAACCTCAGCGCATTATTTAGAAGTGTGATTTTCACGCAAAAAAAAATCTTTTTTCATCAATCTCTAAGCTCCATAGTGAAGCCAGCATCTTACCAGCTCAATAGTCCACATTTTAAATGTGGCCATCGATATTACAAATTCAACTTACACAGCATTATTTATACCAACTTCAATGTTTCCGAAGTTGATAAGTAAAATTTAAACTAGATGAAAAAGATACAGATCCAAGGCATAAACAAAAGACTATTATTAACTTACCTCAAAACCTAGCACTGACATTCTTTCATCATTTACAGCAGGTATACAGCTCCTATAAGTGACATAAGCACCTGATCCACCTTTTGATTTGGATGACTCAACGAGTAACCTTCTTTGAACTTTTGAGGAAATAAATAGGTCCATACGAGGCTGATTAGAACCAAAATTCCTATGCTCAAGCATAGATCTTGTCTTGTGTGCTTCCGAATTTTTCACATCCTTCGAAGCAGCTCCAGAGGGAATGCATTTCAAACGAATGCGATATCCAGTTTCGCTACAACGATACTTTTCATCACTCTAAGAAAAAAGCATAAAAAATCTTGTGTAAGAAATAAACTGGTAAAACGTACATAAACATTCGTAGAACTATACAAAATTAATCAAGAAAGCTCCACTTCATTTCTTCTTCCTCTAACATCCTCACATGTACTACAAAGAACTTATATTCTCAAAATTTAATCAGATTGGATAGGGTTATTAACAAATTTCTACTGATTAGATTTGAAAATTTGATGACAAAAACACAAAATTATACAGAACAATAATGACAAAATGTGTTCAATGGGTAACATAGATGTACAGAATAATCAACATCTGATAAACGCACATTTTCACAAGAATAACAAGATTTGTTAGGAAATAAACCGACTGTAAAAACAACACAGTGATGACCAGAATACTCTATAAATGAAAGCAGTCAAATGAAGAAGATGTAGAAAATTAAAATTACAACTAACCGGAGATTCTACGGTCCTTTTAATGAACCATTCCGCCGGGGTTTGTAACCGTTAGATCAACTATCCATGACGGTTACATAATGATCTAACGGTTTCAAATCCCGACAAAATGATTCCGTAACAGGACTGCAGTATTTCCCCTAACTAATAAGCAAGTACCAATCTAAAACCCCAATAAAAGAAATACCTTTTCAGAGCGCGAGCAGGGTATGCAAGGGCCCGAAGGAGAACAATCAAAGGTGACATTACCTCCATCCGGCGTCTCCTTAATGCCCATCAACGATCTGCCTTTTGTTATAGTACAATCTCTGTGAAAACCATTGATTCAGAAAACCTAATCTCAGAAACAAAAGCTAAAAATTTGTACTGCAAAAATGATTGGGAAAAAAAAAATTGACTTACAAATTGTGAGCAAGCGATAGACAGGTGCAGGAAAAAATAAATAAAACGAAGAGCGTCGATGGAGCCAATGGCGGTTGGTCGAGGTGAAGCATTTTTGTTCTTCTTCTTCTTCTCTACTGTGAAAATCCTTCTGAGTTTGATGGAATTGGAAACAGTGGCCCGGTTTTTTTTGTCCTTGATCTCATTCGAATTAAGGAATATTAAAATAGGGTTCATTTAATTTTGTTTATTTTGTTTCTGACACAGAACATTTCCAACCACAATCTCTATAATTACAATTTCTACAATAAAATCTCACTAGTTATACAGTTTTAACAGTGTCAACAACTCCAACTCATTCCCTCTATAATTGGCCTCTAAAAAAATATTTCAAGAATATTATTTTCTAATTTAATTAGTTTATTAAATAATTTCTACAAATTACATTTTAATGCATTATGTTTGCTAAAATTTACATATTTACGTATATATATTAATTATCGATTAATAAGATTAATTACTAAATTTAAATCAAAAATCATAAAATTTCACACTACATCATAAAACGACGTGGATTTCATCACAAACATTAATTTGAAAAGAAAAAAAAAAACATCAACACAAACATGAAGCATTCAATACAACAAGAACTACTGAAAACAAAATACAACACTAGTTATTGCCATGAGTATATTTTTCCCACAATGTGCCACCAATGCATTACGAAGTTCATAGTGGGCAGACTTATCATTGATTCTTTTGTGTCAAGCAAGAAATTGTTGAAAAGAGACGTGATCTCGCGGTGTTGGAGTAACCGTAGGCCAAATTGAACATCACTTCTAATTGGTGTACTAAGATCCCGTTGCTCTTCGACATTCATATTGTGAAAAGTAATACATGCTTTCATTATATCATTAAGCACCTCTTTTTTCCAAAAACGAACAGGACCCGCACGATTGCAAACCTTTTTTGCAGAACTCCAAATGCACGCTCAACATCCTTTCTACATGCCTCTTGTCTCATTTTAAAGTATTCCTCCACTGGATTTGATGGTGCAACAAAAGACTGAACAATAGTGGACCATTTTGAATATATACCATCTGCTAAATAATAGCTCATATTAAACTGTTTACCTTGAATGGTGTAATTAGCTGGTGGAGCGATACCTTCAGCAAGATTTGACATTAGAGGTGATGCTTCCAGCACATTAATGTCATTATTCGCACCTGGCATACCAAAATATGCGTGCCATATCCATAGATCATAATCTGCCACAACTTCCAAAATGATTGTTGCCTTTCCGGAACGTCCAGCGTATTGACCAGCCCATGCCTTAGGGCAATTCTCCCATTCCCAGTGCATGCAGTCCAAACTACCTAACATACCTAGAAAACCACGTTATTCACCAATATGAAGCACTCTAGCGATATCATCGTGATTTAGTGATCTCAGATATTGTGCTCCGAAAACTTCAACGACTCCACGACATAATCTCTTTACGCATTCATTGGCCGTTGACTCAGCAATCTTAAGATATTCATCGACAACATTTGTTGGAGTTTTATAGGCCAACTGACGAAGCGCCGTTGTCCCTTTTGTAGATGTTGACAATCCAAGTCGACCAAGACCATCCCGACGTTGTTGGAAAAAACTATCATGATTTTCCAATGCTCGCATAACACGTTTGAAATTATGAATAGAAATCCGAAACCTTCGACGAAATGTATCTTCATCGTGGGTTGGATTACTACTAAAATAATCTCGAAACAGTGTGCGATGAGCCTCCCCCGATCACGATGGACTACTTTATGTCCCGGAACAGAACCTCCCCAAGTTGGTTGGCTACTTTGCGCGGAGAGAGCATGTGCCATAAAAAAATTATTGGTTTGCAATATACGAGTGGTGGTTGATTCCAAAGTGTTATAAAAAAAGAGGCAATGAAGCATTTGCATCTTCCTCATCAGAATCATAGTTATAAGAGAGAAGATAATTCATTGTGAATGATATTAGAGGGAAGTATTACAGAAATATTTGATAATGAATTTATATTTAGCTTGGATGATATCATGTATAGTTTCATGTTTATATAGACGAATGGATGAATATTCTTTTTCAGACAATACCATGTGAAAAGAATTTGACCAACACAATGCCAAATGCAATAATTTTAGACAATGTCATGTGATCATTATTACACAACATTATTGTACGTTGGACAATGTCATGTGATCATTGGATTCGATTCTAACCATTGGATTCTTTTTCAGACAATGCCATGTGAAAAAAATTTGACCAACACAATGCCAAATGGAATTATTTCGAACAAGACCATGTCACCATTATTACACTACATTATTATTGGACAATGCCATGTGATGGTATTGATTAGTTGGCATTGGACAATGCCATGTGATGCCATTGGACACTACAATATTACACTATATTTTTAAGTTTACACTACATTAATTTGACCAAAGCATTATTGTTTGAAGCTGTCATGTGATGGCATTGATTAGTTGGCATTCGACAATGCCATGTGATGCCATGTGATGCCATTGGACACTACAATATTACACTATATTTTTAAGTTTACACAACATTAATTTGACAAACGCATTATTATTTGAAATTGTCATGTGAAGGCATTGATTAGTTGGCATTGGATAATGTCATGTGATGTCATTGGACACTACACTATTACACTATATTTTTAAGTTTACACTACATTAATTTGACCAACGCATTATTGTTTGAAGTTGTCATGTGAATTCGTTTATCTATTTATACATCAAACTTCAAGAGCAACTACACACATCTAATTTCTTCTTCCATTATTGTAGTCGTCTTGTTCCCACTCTTCTTCAATTTCTTATTTTCTTCAAAATGTCTTTTTCAAAAGGGCCAAAATACTCCAAACCGGAAGATGTCTTAATTGTTAGATGTTACATAAGTGTTTCACAAAATCCAATATCGTCAAATGATCAAAGTTCTTCAACCTTTTGGAAAAAAACATGACGAATACAACTCCCAGAAACACAAAAATTTACCAGAACGCTCTATGAGGTCCCTTAACTCTCGTTACCGTCTCATGAAAACTCATTATCAAAGGTTTAATGAATGTTTGAAGCAAATTGAATATCGCAATCCTAGTGGGACACAAATCAAAGATAGGGTGAGTATTTTTTTTAATTTCAATCTCGGTTCATGTTATTTCCTTGTTTTATAAGTATACTTACAATTATATATCTTTTACTTTGTTTATAGATTGAGCAAGCCGAACGATCGTTTGAACAAGACCCAAAATATAAAGATGGCTTCAAGTTTCATCATGTGTTCCGACTATTCAAAGAGTTTGGTAAATTTGATGATAATGTGTCCCAACCACGATCTCGTCGTCGGGATTTCGATACACTCAATGACTCTTCTGAGTCCAACGTTCCATATGTTGGACAACCAACACCAGAGTCTCCGGGATTGTCGTCTTTTAGTCCTCGACTAAGTGACGATGGTGTTGGTGGAACATCCTCTCAACGTCCAATGAGAGCGAAGAAAGCAAAATTGAAGAAGAAAAATGAAGACCAATTTTGCCAATATTTTCAAACTCTAAATGCTAAAAGTGATACTATTGTTGATTTGTTGCAGAAAGTCGATGAACGTCAAAATGTCCAGCTTCAATTGCAGAAACAACAAATCTATTTGCAGAAAAAGAGGGATGAAGATAGAATTTTGATGATAGATTTGAATTCCCTTACGAATCCCATGATACATCGACAATGGGACAAAAACAAATATAAATTTTACAAGAAAGAGAAATTGAGCAACAACAATCTCAAGCAACACAACCATCATCTAACACGGGTCAATTTGGATTTCTCGACGACATTGGGCATGATGGAGGAAATTTGAATGATTATTATGGTGACAATTAAGTCTATGAAATCGTCTACTTGATAATCCTTTTTTAGTTTTTATTTTTATGTTTCGTATTAATTATTGTTGTTGTAGTATGTGTGAGCTTTAAGATGAGTTTTTTAGTTTATTTTTATGTTGTGATTTTAATTTCAGTGTTTGTACTTTAATTTTAAGTGTGTTGAATGTTTATCCTTATTTTGTAATTTTAACTTGTTTGTTTGAAATATTTATTTAAGTGAATTTAAGTACTAATTAATATTATATAATATTAATTAATAAAAGTATCCAATTTTTCATTATACTACTTAAATTTCTACCATATTAACTACAATAATTAAGTTTAAAGCTTTTATAAAAATACTTTAATTTCACTCATAAAATTGAAATAAAAATACTTTTAATAAATTTACATAAAAAATTTAAAACCATAAAATTTAACTTGTCCGTTTATAATATTTAGTTACAATTATTAAGTTTAAATAAATTTATACAATATTTTAATTTAATCCATTAAATTATTAAAAGAAAAAACCAACTCATCTAGCCCAATTGTAGTTAAAAACAACAAAAAGAAGCCCAATCCATTGCCCAAAATTTGTCAGCCCACTTCATTTTTTACTGAAAAAGAAAAAAAAAAAAAGTTAAGAGGATGAACAGTGAACGGTGTGGAAACCGTTCCACAAACCTCTACCCCTAAAATAGCGGAAAGGACAGAGCTTGGTTGGAGATAATTTTTCTCTATGGAAGGCGTTTTCACTGGGTTTACCGGGTGGGTTGGAGATGTTCTAATAAGTTTGATAATTTCATCAAATTCCACTACACCCAAATGTAACGGTCCGGCCCGACCGGCCTTCCGGTCGTCGGGCCTATTATGATGGAATCGAATCGAAACTGGCCTGGAAAAAGTGTTTACGTTCATAAAATAGACGGGCTTGATTTTGGGCTGGGCTCGGCGTTATTTTTAAGCTATGATGTATCTTATAGTTTATTTGGTCAACTTATAAGCTCTCTCTATTCAAATGTGCATCATTTAGTAGGACGAACTTTTTTAAAAAGTTCGAGCTTATTTGATAAGCTTTTTTAGTTGACTTTTCAAATAAGCTAGTTGATTTTTTTTATTCTAGCTAGTTTATCAGTTAATTTTAGCAAGCACTTTTATCATATAAGTATAGCTTCTCAACTAAAAGTCATAAGTTACAAGCTATAAGCTCAAAAATTACTGATCATCTGCTAGTTTTACCAAACATAGCTTTAATGAATTGCTAAACATAGCCCCCTGTTTACCTCCCCCTTTGACAATTTTTCCCTTCTCATAATTTCAGCCAAAAAAATCCAAAAAAATGGAACATCCTCGCCAAGGTCGAGACAAAGACTTCATGATTCTTCCGGTATGTTCTTTATTCGATTAGTAATTTTTTTTTAAAGGATTCAACTCGACCAGCTGGCCGCTGATCGCAGTCGGGCCTGGTGCGGGCGGTTTAGGCCGATCGGCCGAATGCTCGGCTGCCAGTCATACCATAATTGACCTTCCTAGGTAGTCGGCCATGCGTTGTGCTCCTGGCCTCCTGCTGGAATTATTATTATTTATTTTCAATATTTGGAATTGTTTTATTATATTTAAATATTTAAAAATACAATTTACCTAATTTATTGATTTATGCTAATTTACATAAATTTTAGTTTAGTAGATATTAATAATATGTTACCTATAATAATATGTTATATATATTAGCTAAATGTAATTATATTTAAGTTATGATATTAATATTTTCTAATAATACTAATTATTATAAGAAAATGCATATACCTTTAGTATTTTTAGGAAACAAATTAGTCGTTATATATGAAATAAAATGGTTTGTTAAGTAATTTAGTTTCAAAATTTTTAATTAATATTATAATATACGTTGAAAAAATTGTTTTAGTTATTTATGTGTTTACGAATAATTATTATATTGATTAATACTTTTTAGAAAAGTAATTACCTGTGATATTTAATAATATATTTTAATAGATAGTAATAGTAAAAAATATTAATTATGCTTGCTAACGTAAATTTTAGCAATAAATATTTAATTATTGTTATTTTATAATAATTAATAAAATATATGAACTTAAAAAAGTTATTAGTTTTAATTATTGATTTATATTGGTGACAGACCTATGCGACCGGCAGGGACGGGGCTATTAGTTCTAAAAATAAAGGGTATTTTAGTAAATTTATTATAGTATAAAAAAATTAAATATATTGGTTTTGTGTAAGAGTAAATAGGATGAAAATTATACCAAAAAATAAAAAATAAATAAATAAAAATACCCTTGAGATTTGAGAAGAAAAATATCATCCCATACATCGTCCATCCGGCTCCAGTCATCATATTCGGCTTCGGGCTTCGGGCCTTTGACAAACTATCTTGTTGAGTAAGTATATTTTATACAATTCTCTACTTTCAACGAAGGATGTCAATGAAAGTTGTGAACGCGATATATTTGGGGGGAAAAAGAGAAGATGGAATTTTTATTTTTTTTATAGCGATATTTGTGTGTTTAAATTGTGTGCTTTAAGGTGAAATTTGATTTTTGAGGATCATTGTCCCTAATTTTTGTCCAAGGATTTGACCTAGGAAAAAATTACTTGCATTTTTTAATTTAATTATTGAAGCTTAAATTGATGAAATCTCTTGTCCATATGTATATTACTACATGGAATTGGCTGATAATGGATAATCAAGTATGGTACTAAATTATTATCATATTTTCCTATTGGATATTTATATTTATTTTTTATCTAATCTTTCTCTTGGAGGCAATGGGCAATTTGGTTTGCTATATAATTTATTTATTTTTTTTTTTTGAAAAACCTATACGTGTTTATTTGTTTCATTCGTTTATTCGGATTGCTAATTCATCGAGAAAGATATATTTTAGAATGTTAGCAATGAGGCTATCGTACAACGATTTCAAAACATGAAAAATGGAAGAGAAATGTTGTGATCTCTCAGTGTTATCGTGTTATCGTAAGTTACATTCTTGAATACTCGGACATATATATTATGTTTATCTAGTCGATACTTGTACTGATTTATTTATTTTTACAGCTGATGTATTTCTTTTTGTTATTAGTAGTTGGTCCCACCTCGACAAAATTCCTAAATCCGTCACTGGCGACCGGCCACCGATGCAAAGATTGCTGAGTTTTATGGTTATGGTCCCCGACACACGAAGAGTCGATATGTAGGTGCTTCAGCTCGTCGGGAGAGAGACGATGATGCGTCAAATTCGCATGAGACCTGGTCACGCTGGCCAGGATGGCAGTTCGAAACACCTCGTCTCGGGTACAGACCGGTCAGCAGTCCCGCTTCCAGCAGCGGGATGATTATGATGAGTCGACAGCTGAGAGGTTGTAGTTCTCAGAGGATTATGAGGACTTTGACTCTGTATATGAGCAGGACATTCTTCCTGATCTTGCACGACCTGCTCCTCCATGTGTTGGGACCGTTTTGCGAGTACTTGATTCTCAGGTAAATAATTTATTTACGTGTCATGATTTTATAAACCATTAATCCTTAATTATTTGAATGTATTAAATATTCGTACATCACAAGATATAAAATTACACTAGTTGTTAAATTATAGGCAAAATTGCGCCTAATATCACCACCTTTATCGAAATTGCAAATTAATCACGACTTTTGGACTTTGGCGCACAATATCATGATCTTCAATTTTTGGCAATACGGTACATGAAATTCCTCAGCTCCCAAAAAAAAATCGACGTGGCCTAAATTTGCCACCGCGGAGGCTTAGCTGGCGGTCCACCTCGGAGCAATACGGCGTCGTTTTAATTCTTTTTATGCACGTCAGATCAAAACGACGTCGTTTCGATATCATAGCAATACTGAAGTCATTAAACCCTAATTCCTTAATTCAGAAAAATGCAAAAAAATGCAGAAAAAATCAGAAAGATTCAGAAAAACCTAATAAGCCATAACCCTAAACCCTAATTCCCTAATTCCATAATCAATCAACTTCATGGTTTCCAAATTCTGAAAAATTAAACCTAATAAGACATTAAACCCTAATTCTCAATTTTAACAATCTACAGGCTTAAAGCAATTACCATGGATACATGTAAACTAGGCTTACCACTAAAGATCCTGGACCAGGTGGGTAAGACAATTACTCTTACTTTCGCCTTCTTACGCTCGTGGGGCTCGGGTTAAACGAAACCGTTGTTAATGCTTGTAGCTTGCGTGTATGAAGCATTTTTTTGAAAATCATCATCATCCTCAAAATAATCATCATCCTCCAAATACGGGTATCGATTTTTGCACATGTAGAACCTCCTACCCGAATTTCAATCGGTATTAGAGGTCAGCAATTCGGCCTCACCATGGGTACATGTAAATTTTGATGATGTACTCCTAGATGAGTTGGATTTGGTTGACATTTTGCCTACTCCTTTTTCTCCGATGACGAAAACCCAGCCCCAAAAATTTTCTCCTGCAGATTGAAGAAGGGTTCATCGACTGATTTGGAGATTTAATCAGCAATTTACCACTCAAAACGGCGTCGTTCGATCTGAGGTAGAAAAAAAATACTCAGATATCGAAACAACGTCATTTTGATCTGACGTGGATAAAAGAATTAAAACAACGTCGTATTGCTCCGAGGTGGACCGCTAGCTAAGCCTCCACGGTGGCAAATTTAAGCCACGTCGATTTTTTTTGGGAGCTGAGGAATTTCATGTACCGTATTGCCAAAAATTGAAGATCATGATATTGTGCGCCAAAGTCCAAAAGTCGTGATTAATTTGCAATTTCGATAAAGGTGGTGATATTAGGCGCAATTTTGCCTTAATTATATGGACTTTCATTGTAGGGAATGCTTGGATTACATGGCTAGTCCAGTGAAAAGATTGCACTGTAAACGTTTCTCAATGGAAGTCGGAATTCCTCAACGTCCAGTTGTTCCGTTAAACCCACTACGGCGCTGTTTTACTCCCCGCCGGCGGTCAACGAGGGCTTCTCTCAATCCGCAGCAGGTAGAAATATCCTCAAATTCAGTTATTCCCTCTCAGAAATATGTTGAGCAAAATTGATGGAATTTCTCCTGTTTAATAACGGAAGAAAGGAGGGTATCAAGGTTTGAAGCCCAAGAGGGAATGGGTGGCGGATTGGGTGTCCAAAAACGACGACGTTGTGCGGAGCTTGCCCATATACATCGGCGGCGTATCTCTCTTGGCCGTGCTCTTCAACCGAACACTCTCAGGCATTGCTCCTGTTGCTGACGCCAGCAGGTACAGGCTATTTCTCCCCCCTTATTTAGAAATAATAAGGAATGCTGAAAAATTATTTGCAGTTCTTAATTTTTGACCTGTAATTTATGCCTGAATTGTAGTGCTAAGAATTTTCCGGTCGTCTAGTGTGGATTGGTTAATTTAGTCCATAGCTGTATCAGATTTTCTATCATGTAGAAAAATAGTTAGCAGGAATCTTGTGAGTATTTGTAAAATACTCATAATAAATCTGTAATGGAGTGCATTCTGCTCTTTCTAATATCTAATTTATCTTTAGGAGTGATGATTATAATGTTTCGTTCGAAGGTTTACCTTTTGTTATATCTGGCAGCTCACAGTCGAGAACCGATCTATTGACCCTTGGGTTGGCTGTTACCAATATTTTGAATGGCCTCGTGTGGCTCTCGATTAAGCCTAAGTCAATTTCTGTGGTGAGGAAGCTTAGACATGTCTTGTAATCTGCTTTCTCTCTTTCTCTCACCCTCACCTTCTCAGCTCTCTCTCTCGCACACACAGAGAGATTGTCAACTAGTTTAGTTTTTTGTAGACTCTATGAAAATTTTTCTACTCCATGCTTAATATATCAGGTTAACCCCAATGGCGTGCAATGCCAAAGAGTATATGACGGCCTTCCTGATTCTGTGATTTCTGAGTTACTATGGTATGGGTCTTCATCTATTTATCACATTTGTGATTTTCTTTGCAATGATCATTTTTCTTGGTCATGTTGAATGATGAGGTCACACTTGTTAACTTTTTGCTCCAATGCATGCCTAAATGCAGGCTACTCTCATGTAATGCACTCTCAACATTCTACACTTTTTTCACACATTAATGATTAATATAATTCACCCAAGAAATCCAAAAACAAAGTATAGGTTGCTAATACTGCTTCTTGATTCTCAGGGCATGGGAGTCTCTTTCGAATGCCACATGCTGCAGGTCTCTTGTTATCGTTTATGATGGCATTTGCATATTGCAAATTGGGTATGCTGATGTGTCTGACTCAAGCGGAGGCGATCCTGTGGTTGTAGATGCTGGCAAGTTGATGAGAGGATCTCTTTACAACGGTGTCGTAAAATCTGGATCACGTGAGATTTTGTCCTAGCTTATTTTGTGTAACTAGCGCAGTTCTATTGAGGATTTGTTGGTAAGGTGAGCTTAGCACAACGTTTTCTTCTGAATTCCAGAAAGTTACTTGGCCAACCTCTCACTCTATCCTGCCAAGTCTGAGCTTCTATTTTTACCTTCAAATACACAGGTGATTTTGTTAGTAACAGATTCTCTCTCTCTCTCTCTCTCTCTCTCTCTCTCTCTCTCTCTCTCTCTCTCTCTCTCTCTTGTAATTTAGTGCATTATCATTCTTCTCATCTTATTGATATGTGATACACATTCTCCGCCGGTCATTGTGAATTAATTTCTAGGATTTCTGTGATATTTTTAGGCAGTTATATTGCAACCTCTCAGGAATAAAGGAATCGTGATATTTGGTGGGGACACAATAAGAGGATTCTCTACTTCCGACCAGGCTTGGATCACATTGATTGGGGAGAAGTTAGACGCTACACTTGCTAAAGTTGTGAATAGAAAAGAAAATTGAACGACGGAATTAGAGTATCAAACTCTTGGTTGCACTCGATGTTAAAGGTATCCTTTTCGAGTTTACTGATTTCCATAATATAATAGAGTTGTAGATTAAAAACAAATCCTTTTGTTTTAAAGAAAAATAGTAGTTACATTTTGTGTTCCTTCTGCACTGGACTCTGAACTTCATATGGTATGGTATGTATATCTCATTTTTTCCATCACAAAAGATCATCAGCTAGCTAAGCTAACCGTCCAAAAGTCGATCATATTTCCCCTCCCAAGGGAATAAAACTGTCGAAAAATCAACCATATTCGACAGCACAAAATCCCTAAGCCCTGTGTCCCAAACCTCACAAAACCTCCGGGCCCAGTCGGGCGGCTCAACCGCCTCCATCCCCAGTCCCGGGGCTCGATCCCTCGACCCTTCGTTCTGATTTTCCCTCCAATCCGCCACATATGTCCCAACCGTTCTATAAAACTTAGCACTAAAAACCTCCCACACTTGGTACTTATAGTGATTGATTATTTGATTATCCCCACGCTTTGCGCCAAATTCAGGTACTCGAACCCTTTCTTTAGCCGAAAATGTTGCACCACGTTGAGTAGGCTAGGATCCAGCGCATCCACCCTCACGATCGATTTGTCCTCTCCGGGTTCAGAAGGCGACATGTGTACCCGACTGTCACACCCTGCATCGGATGCTTATCCTGCCCAGACGGGCCAAAACTTTAACAAGAAGTTCGTATCTCGCCTACATTTCTCGACATGTTCGACACCAATGCGCCAAGTGAATTTCGGCCCACATAGTCAAACTTTCGGGCCTTCTTGTGCCGGCGGGCCGAGTACGGGAAGTAGAAATATTCGTCCACGTCCATGAAACCAACCTAATTGCACTCGTCTCGTGCCTTCAAAGCACAATGAGAGAAGCCCGCTTCTTGGGTTTTGATCCACGGCCAAACATGCCTCGTCACGTTGTAGTTCTCTTGATCGAGTTCTTGAATGACTTTATCGAGTCCGTCATCACTATTGTTGTCATACACGAACCACCTCTCGACTCCAAGCCAAGAATGGTACATTATCCATTCGCGTATGGCCAAACCCTGGTTCCAAACCATTGTACACATGCAGAGCTCGTATTTTTTTTCCTCTAATAATCTTTCTTTGGGGCATTCGATCGAACACCGTTGCTGCTACTGACGGCATGAGTGGATTTTCACGCCCCGATTGGGAATATCCAACTGTCACGCGAATTTCTTCAAATTTTTTAGGGCTGGTCTGGACGACATGTGACAGTGGACACCTTACGACTTCCTGGGCCGCGGTTAAAGCCGTCGTCCTTATAAGGTTGTACCTATTACCATTCATGTCCGATTTCCGTACATCAAAATGGCAAGTAAACAGCCTAGGATCGGACAACCTATTGGCCCTCACATTCAATCCCTTCACGAACACAACAATTGTGGTGCCGTCGAGGGCGGCCTCATACACCACATTTTCCCAAGAACAACAAGACTTTTTTCTTTTATTATTATTATGATTAGTCAGCCGCAACCCATTTTTTTCATATACACCCCCCAAGAAAATTCTATTATTCACCCCAGCCCACCTCAAATTAGCATCAGCTTAATAATTCAGAGACACTGGGAGTGGGCACCTAATGAAAAACTTAAACTGCTCGTATTCATCTACAGACAAGGATCTCTGCACAGAAAAATCGCTACTTTCGTTGATCTTTACTACTAAAATAAACACATTCCAGTTCATGACCTAAACCCCTGTTTTTCACCAACAGCACACCATTGAAAACGCCGCCGGCAACTAACAACAAAACATGATCGGGGAAGATGACTTTGTTCTCGATTTCCAAGGGCGGTAACGAGGTGCCAAAAACCTTAACTGGTTCAGCAGTTGAGCTGTAACTGGAGGACGACAGCAAAGATAAGCTTGACACCACTAAAACGGGGTGAAAGGGACGAAGAAGCAAAAGGGTTCGTCGTGTGGGATACAAGGTAAACAAAGGTTAGGAAGGTAATGCACAGGACAAGAGATCTTACGGACAGCAAGTGTTGAAGAGATAATCCGAGAATGTTGCGCTGCTGTTTTCTCTTGCGGCGTTGATGGTTTGAAGAAGGGTTCATTTAATTTGATTTTTAGTTCTTAGGTAATAAAATTAAGGACAGTTTTAAGATTAAGGTTTCTGATAATGGAGATGGAATGAGAAGGAAAACGAAAAGGGAAATGGAAAATTCTGTGAGCAGATCTGAGTGTGTGTGTGTGGGGTGCCAACAGAGGTCAGTGGTTGGTGAGCTTTTTTTTTTTTTTTTTTTTTTNNNNTTTTAAGATTGGTTGCCAACGGAGAACTGAACAAAAACAATTTTTTTTTTGTTTGGGGTAAAAACTTTTTTCTATTTGAACTATCACGGGTTTTGGCTAGGTATGTCAATGGGGAATTCCCCATCGGGTTCTGACCCCCCATACCCGGCCTCGAGTTGGGGAAATCTCCCCCATGGGGATCCCCGAAACTACTCATGGGGATGATTTTTCCCCCATACCCGTCTCCGATAGGGAATCGGGTTCCCGTCGGGGCCCCATACCCGCGAAATTAAGTTCACAGACTAGCTTATAATGGAGTCTAACAAGCACGGGAACGGCTGGACGGGGCACGGCGAGCCGGCGAGGAGCGTGGATCTGAGCGAGAGGGTCGAGGGGGGAGAGGAGAGATGGTGCGCGTGCGTCGCTACTCGCTACGCCCTGGCGGCTGCTGGACTCGGGAGACGGGGAGAGTGAAGGGTTGGAGACCTAGAACAGTACGGCTGGAGTATATATACACTAGGGTTTGACTTGGAGTGGGCTGAGATGTTGGGCTTATTTCCTATGGGCCTTTGCTGCGTAACCCCCACGGGTAATCGGGTTCGGGGGAGGCTCCCCATACCCGCCTCCGCCAGACACGATGTGGAGGGTTTTTCCCCCATTTAACCCCCCATGGGGACAAAATCCCCCCATACCCCCTCCTAATAGAAGAATTCCCCACGGGTAATCGGGTATCTGGTCCCCATTGACATCCCTAGTTTTGGCGCATCACCATATAAACTATGCAGATTAGTCAAAGTGCCCCCTAAGCTGGATATAAAAGCGGTTTTAACTGAAAAAAGCTAATTTCTTAAGGGTGTTTCAGTAATTTCACATATTTTTCAAAAATTAAAAAAATGAACGAAAAAAATGAAAAATGGCAAAGTTAATTTGCGATTACAAAATCAGATTCAATCAATCGACCTGCCAATCGGTTTCGAGAAACTGCGATGAAGAAGTGCAGCGCCTAGGGCTGCAAATGAGCCGAGTCGAGCATTGGCCTTATCGAGCAGGATTGAATTTTTTTTTAGTTGCTCGAGCTCGAGCTCGTCGAGCTCGATTTACGAGGCTCGAGCTCGACTAGATAAAAAAAAAAATACAAGAGCTCCAGCTCGGTTCGAATTCAAAATGCTCGAGCTCGGCTTGAGTTCGGTTCGAATTTTTTCAAGCAATTTTGTAAAATAAACTATTAAATACATATATATAAGGGTATTTTAGTAATTTCATATATCACGAGCCGCTCACGAGCCGCTCGACAATGTAAAATATGGGCTCAAACTCGACTCGAGTTCAGTGAAACTCGAGCTCGAACCGAGCTTTGACTCGAGCGCTCGCGAGCGGCTCGCGAGCTGCTTGACTCGTTTGCAGCCCTAGCAACGCCGCGTCTCGGAGAATCGCGTTCGCCGCTGAGCGAAGGGTGGCTTTATCATCTCGTCGTCGATGGCGGCGGCGCCGTAGGCGCCTACCCTAGCGGTCGAGGAGATAAGAAGACCAAGAAAAGGAAGAAGTTCAAAGGTTTGTACGTGACTTGTAGGCTGAAAGAGGAACATAAAATCGAAAGGATAAAGAATAAGGTCAAGGTACCAAGGTCGACTCCATGGCCACTCCCTTTCAAGCTCATTTGAGCTTTTTTTTTTTTTTTTTCACGTGATTGTTCTGATGTTCTTGGCGCTGTGATTACATCTTGCTAGTAGTGATGCATTTTGTACCAGTTGTTTGGGACTTAATGCTTAAACCTATTGATTGATTTAAAAGAAGATTGGCTTTAATGGTCGATCTATGATTTGATATTGGTTCGATGAAATCCTCACGGCCCGACCTCTTGCATCATGTTGAGACAGCAATTCAGTCAGGCCAGTTTGCGGATGTGCTCGACCGCACAGTTGGGGACTGGCGAGTTGAGGAGGCCCTCTCACTGCCCAAGCTGGCTTTCAAGGGCTGTGAACTGAGGAAGAGTGATAGGCCCGATCTCGACTCGGTGATCCTAACGTAGCTCGAGAGGTTGAGGGACGTGGGATTGGAAGTGTCGCGTGGGGTGAGCTTTCTCTATGCACACTCGCAGGGTGATGGAAGTCTCACAGACGCGGTCGAGGTCAAACGGGTGATGGAAGTCTCACAGAAGCGGCTCCTCCCCGACGAGGCCTGCCACGGACCCACAACGATCTCGACATGAAGAATGAAGCACGCCTGATGTGCGAACAACTCTCGTTGCATGCTTGAGTTTCCGTTGTGAAGGGAGCGGCTATGGAGGCCGGCTACGGAGGCCATCGGCAGCTCCGGTGGCGTAGCAGAGCATGGCTCTTTCTGGTCCAAGGTTGTTGCATGCATTCTTGTGCACGCACGAATAGTCAGTGTTAGAGGAGATGGAAACCTGCTTCATTTTTCATTATTTCTTTTTTATTATTATTATTTTTTTTAAACAGTTCTTCATTTTTATTTTTTCTTTTTTGAAAAATTTATGAAATTACTGAAATGAACTTAAAAAACAGTTTTTTTAGTCAAAACCACTTTATATCCGGTTTAGATGGCATTTTGACAAATCCGTATAGTTTATATGGCGGTTTTTTTTTTTTTAAAAAAAATAGTTTATATGGTTATAGGCCAAAACCGCGATAGTTCATATGAGAAAAAGTTTTTTACCCTTTTCTTTATCCTTTTTTTCTTTTATGATAAAATAAATTCTAAAATAATAAAAGTAACATTTGGCCCCATGTGACATTTTTAATAAGGTAGTGTTTGGTTTGAGGGATTGGAGGGCACCGGAAGGGATGGAGAAATCACTTATTTGGTTGCAAAATTAGGAGGAGAGGGAGAGGAAAATTTTAAGTGAAATTCTATCTCCCCCTTCACTTTATCTCCCCTCCAAAATTGGAGGGAAAGTGTTTTAATATCGGTGTTCTAAAAGTCGCTAGGCGAGAGCGCCTAGGTGGAGCCTAGGCGGCGCCTAGTCGAGACCTAAAAATCAATATTAACTACCTTATTTTTTATTTATTTTAACTACTTAGAAAATAAAACTATCTCAACTTATAATAAATCGACACCCCTAAATCTAAATAATATTATTAAAAAGAAACATGAGGACAAAATAATGCAATTAGTATTTAAACAATTTTTTTTTTTTAAAAAAAAGAATTGCCGCCAAGCCCGCCTAGGAGCCGCCTAACTGCCTGCCCGCCAAGTCCGCTTAGGGCCGCCTATGCACCTGACGAATTTTTCTGCCGACTTGTGCAAATCGGAGGCAGCCGGGCACTGCCTAGCGCTTAGGCGCCATCTAGGCCGATTTTTAGAACAATGAATTTTAGAGAGACGTGAAAGCATAGATAGCCGTCTAGTATATTTGTAAATTTTTCTTTATTAGTTATAAAATATAATAGACATACTTTTTAGACATGATATTCAATATTTTTTCCTCATCGTCTTTTATAAATTAAGACTAATTAAAGATTTTGAATATTACAGTGCACCGGTACTGCACCCTGAATTGTTGAAGCATCATATTACCTTTTCTCATTTTTCTCTAATCACAACGCATACTCACTACAAATAATGAAAATGAAAATATGATAAACAGAAAGTAGTTATAATGTCACAATACTAAATAATAATAATAATAATAATAATAATAATAATAATAATAATAATAATAATAATAATAATAATAATAATAATAATAATAATAATAATAATAATAATAATGAAATGCAGCAATATGATAAGTTTTAAATTACTCATATTGTCATATTGAATAATAATTTCATTTGACAAACATTTAGATGACATGTAAATTAGTCACATACCTTTATCTACAACAATTTGAGAGTGAAAAGGACCAACAATTTAGAAGGTGATGCTCCAAAATGTGACTATGCATACTCTTGTCATAAATGAATTAATATTTGTAGATGAAGAATAATAAGATGCGCTTATTATAAATTTTATATGGATGAAAAATAATCGTATATGATGAAGAGAATATGGAAGAGTTGGAGACAACTTATTTATACTAAAGAAGATAGGTGTATTGTTGTAATGTGATTTTAAATTAAAATTATAATATTACATTTATATCCTTCAAACAAAAGTTTTTTTTTTTTTTTCTTGAGGGTAGCATTGGCAATTCACATTTCTAGTTAAATGTGGTTGAATGAGTTACAAATCACAAATTACATTTATATCCTTAAGTAACATCTTTTGAGGGCAATTCAAAATTTTCAATAAACCACTCATACTTTTAAGAGATTTAATAATTTAATAATAAAATAATTAATTAATTTAATAATAGTAATAATTAATTTAATTTAATTTAAATTAATAATAATTAATTAATTATTATTAATAGAAATAGATAGATTATAGATTATTTTTGTTAGGTAATGTACCATGAATATTTTTGTTAGGTAATGTACCACTGGCTATGAACTAGTTGATACCTAAGAAGAAATTGGAACACTCATAGTGATTACAGAATTCAATATATACACATCCAATTGAGTATACATTCGGCCTCAGGTTCCAGAAACTAACTTAAAAAAGACCCATATTCAACTTGCATAAACCCAGATCTCATCACCTAAAATAAAAGAATAAACCAACCATATCTCTGGAAATTTTTGGCTTATATCACTTTCTTGAACTATTATCAGACTTGGAAAATTCAGCTTTTGTATACCTTTGCCCCGACCCTTGCAAGGCCTGGTTTCTGAAAGGAGAGCGAGTTTTTGAATTGAAGTTGTTGTCATCAGCTTTCCTCCAAAACTTGGGACTTAGAAACTCGGCCCCAGCTAACATACAACACGTGTTATTATTACTATTATTATTATTATCAGTGCACGAAATCCGGCCTGTGGATATAGCAAAATCCTGGGACATCTCATCGAGCACCTTCTCCAAGCCGTCCACCCGTTTTGCCAGGGAACTCATTCCCTTTTGGGAGCTGCCAATAAATCTCTGCAAAAAAATTACAAAATCCGCAGATCAATGCATGTTTCACCAAAGTTAAAACGGCAAACTTAAGTTCACACACATTGTATTTCACAAGACATCTACATGTCCAATAGTTAAGAAAATATGCCGCTGTCATTTAGCCTGATTATAAGAAGGATCAATTAAAAAATCCCAGAGGTTTGACTTGATACATAGAAAGATCAACTTTCACAACTACTTTACTAATTATCCATAAAGATCAAGTCATAGTTACCACTTGAAATTTGTTTCCCCTTAACAGATCTGACCCTGAAGAGGGATGGTATTGGTTAGGTAAACACAATTGCCAAAGAGGTTTTGTAACATCTACAGGTACTTGTAATTTTAAAAATCAATTGAGCTTTATAAATATTATTCTAAAACCCAATTTTAGGACAGCAGCAATCATATATTGGAGAATAAAGCCACAACTGTAGACATAAATGGTGTAAGTATAGGAGTTGTAGATTTTAAAGTTGATGTGATATGTAAAACCAAAAAAACCCACAATGTGTGTATTATCTCGAACTTTATGTCATCTATTACGTTATTGTAGCACGATTCTTTAAATAACTCAACATTGAGAAGACACAATCAAACTCCATCAATCACACAAGTATTGAGAAATAGTTGAGTACCTGGAGGAGATCCAATAAATTAGATTGCTGGTTTTCAATCTGCAGCAACTGTTTGCGTATGAGAGACATGTCCTCGAACTCCCTTTGACTCTCATAGTCATCTTTAACGGCATAACCATCAGCCACGTCCAAATTCTCGTTGTCCCAGTTAATAGGAACCACTCGAGACCACAATTTTTTCCTGAAATTCGGCTTAGTGTCTTTGGAAACACACGGATCGATGTCCTCTGTTTCAATAATGCTTTTCTGAATGCTGATTGTAGACGAACAAGTAGATGGGGGTGACCGGCACAACACAACTTTCTTCTCTTTGGGAGTTTCTGTTGCTCATATGGTCAGTGTTACAAAATCAGCATTTCTCAAACAATTAGCAGCCAAGTAACACCCATTACAAATCAAACATGATCTTTTCTGAAAAGAACTACCAAATTTTGGCTAGTGAATTCACGTGAAAGTGGTAAAGCTGTAAAACAAATCAACATTTTTTATCACCTTTTAGCGATGTCAAGTTGTCAGGTTGTCCGGCAAGATCTTTCCACACCTCCAATGCTCGATTCATCTTTTCCCTCACATGCTTCACCTGTTACAGAGAAAAAAAAAAAAAAAAACTATTAAATCGCAACATCTCACATCGCAAATTTGGTAGAGAACAACATGCCAATTAGGAGAAAATATAATTAGGGTGTGATGAGAGGTTTTTACCTTATCAAACCTTCTGTTCTCTAGTGCATCCACGCAGTGACCTTTAAAATCGGCCGCCAATTTGGTCTCCCCCAGCGCCACCTTCTCCAGAACCTCCGCCGCCGCTTTCCTCGCAGCCCAATCCTCACAGCTCAAGAACTCCACCGCAGTTGAAACCACCGAACTCAACAAACTCCTATTCCTTACGCAACCCCCGCTCACGACACTGCCAACAAACAACAGAAGAGCAGGCTTCGCCTTCGAGCAATCACTCCTCAACAGCTTCAAAACCCTAGGAAGAATCCTCCTCAGCTCTGCCGCGTCCGGATCCGGCGCCGCCTCCACCGCCGCGGAGAGGCACAGCGACGCGCCGATCTGCGCGTTCACGTCCTGCTCGTGGAAGAGCGCGTCCACCAGAGGCTTCAGGATGACGGAGAACGGCGGCGAACGGACATGGGTGACAATGGAGGCGACGGCATCGACGCAGGCGACCCGGACGGCGGAGTCAGGGTCGCGCAGGCGGCGGAGGACGGCGGATACCATCCTGGACAGGTGAGGCGACAGAGCATCGCCGTGAGCCTCCGACAGAACGCTCAGGAGGCGGACGCACTGGCGACGGACGGGGGATTTCTCCGACGAGTCGGTTGTGTGGAGGCAACTGAGGAAAGGCGCGAAAGCGTCGTTTTGAAGCGTCTTGGCTATGCTCTCGAGCTCGCTGGCCGCCATTGGTAACGTATCCCTGTCCGAAAGCTTGCTCAAACAGGTGTTAACCCGCGTTTTCAGGTCGCCGGAGTTTTGCTTCGCGAGGCCCATGTTTCCTTCACCCGGCGATTGAGAGGGAAAGAGGAAATAATTTTGGGTTTTTGTAGAAGCTTGTAGAATTGGATATAAATATTATTTCGGTTAGTTTATTTATTTTCGTTAATTGTTAGTCGGTCGAATTTGAATTATTATTTTTATTTTTTATTTTTTTGGTCCAAATTATTATTATTATTATTATTATTATTATTATTATTATTATTATTATTATTATTATTATTATTATTATTATTATTATCCTTCTTATATATAATTCCCGAATGCGCTGAACCTACGTGGCTGCTTCTGGTGCTTCGAAATCCTATTTGGCGAAGAATCATGCTTCGTAATTAGGTTTGGATAAATAATATTGATATATTAATAATTAATAATCTAGGTTCGAGTATTCCATAAATATTATTTAGCTAACTTAGGTATTTTAATATCACTTTTACTAATATAACCCTTTAGTTCTTTGTAATTTTACATAGTGAGACACTAAGTGACTAATATATCCCTGAATTTTGATTTGTTTCCTTCAATAAGCTATTGAATTATAAATGTATTAAAAGTTGATAACTTTTGTATTTCTTATCGGTTTTACATATATAATATATCAAATTAATCATCTTTTGATGATCTTCGATTTGACATCCATATTGTATATATGAAATAAATAAATTATATTTATCTTTATAATAATAAAAAATAATAATATTTATTAAAATTCATTAAGAAAATAAAATTATTTCTCAATTGATATATTTATATGTAATGTAGTTATATATTGTAAGTTCAAAAAAAATAGTAAAATATAACACAAGTAAGTTGTACAAATAAAAAGTGTCATAATAAATATATAATAATATATATTCTTATAAAAGGTATTTAAATTTTCAAACTACTTTTTCTCATTAATTTTAAATTTTAAGAAAAAAAATTTAGCAAGCACCCGTGTAATACACGGTGTTGTACTAGTTTTTAATAAAAGAAGATTGCATTGGGAACGGGTATAATGGGTGCTCTCGTAAATTGTAAAAATAGTTACGAAAAATATTGTGACGAAATTTTTGTAAACAATAAATCGTGAAAACGGGGGACCATTCTTGTAAAAATAAATTACGCGCAAAACGACAAGAGTGCAGAAATAGATAAGGAATAAGGGCATATTTTATTTTACAAAACTATTATTTCATGCAAGGGCCATTATATATGACTAGTATGGGTCTAGTATAGTGCTGTGGCGAAACCAGTCGGTCATTTTGGGGAGGGCTCAATTTGTCGCGGTGCACCACTCCTACTCCGGCATCCCGCGGCGGTCCACCCCCACTCCGGCATCATAAGGGCGCTCAAAAGGTTTTTGTGGACGCTCTCAAAAATTTTCGCATGATATAAAGGAATACTCTATATATCTATATCTATATCTATATCTATATATCTATTTATAAAAAGAATTATCATTTACTAAAAATAGTAGCAAAAATTTAGAAAACATTTAATGCATACTATTTTTGGAACTTTTTTTTTAAATATATGCATTAATTGTTTCTATTTACACGATTTCAAATAAGATCAAATAACATATGATCAAATATTTATTTAAATAAATTTATTAATATCTGCAGTATTTTCATTGATATTTATTATAATAAATTACAAGATTGATTTTCGTGATTAATGTTGATAATACTTTGGTCAAGATAAATATTATCTTATTAATAATTGTAATACTTTCATTGATATTCATTACAATAAATTACAAGATTGATTTCTGTGATCCATTTAATATTTTGGTCAAGATAATATTACACCATAGTTTAAGTTCTAACCATAATATTAGTTTTTTTTTTTCACAAATATTCACTTTATCCAAAAATATTTATGGACAATCGTAACAGGTTAGGTAGAATTTTTTTTTTCAAGTAATCAGACAATGTCAAGTTGGTGAATTAATCTTTGCCAATATATTTGTTTCTTAAGCTTTATTTTGTTAAATATAAAAAATAAATCGTTCTTCAAATTAATATAATTTACCATTTAAGAGATACCAGATACAATAAATAGTTTTACTAATGGTAAAAAATTAAAATTGAAACATATTAACTATTGTTTAGAATTTATTCGTATATTATTGGCACCCATGATTATATTTTTTCATTTTTTTTATTTTGATTTATTTCTATAATTAAATTCTTGTAAAATATATTTTCATTGCTGAGTATGCTAAATAAACCATAAATTCTTATAATGTGAATTAGAAAAATCATGATCATAGAGGGGATCGAATTTTTTGCATTTTCTAAATAAAAGTTGTTTAATTAGTATACAAAATTATATTCTAAAAAACATGTTTATATTTTGTAAAATATTTATACACTATTTAATATTAAATTTATTTACATATTTTAAATTGATTACATAAATAAATAATACCAACGTGCATTAAATATTTTTTATTACATAAAATAAAAATAAAAATAAAAAGAAGACGTACAACTTCTATAACTTTATAAATAATAATTACAGTATATGACATAAAGTGTATAATAAAATAATAATTAAGTATTATATGGTGAACAAGAATAAGTAAGATTGTTATTCTCTCTTATATCAAGGAATACATATATATACTAAAATTCAAATTTAAATTAGGATAAATGTGTTAGTGAAATAATATATTAGCTATTTTAATATTTTGACCAAAAATATAACGTTGATTAAAAGAGGTGCAAAATATATTATAACCTTATTGTTTATTATACTTAACGTTGATTAAAAGAGATGAAAAATAGATGATAACCCTATTGTTTTATATACTTAAACGGACAAAACATGTGAAAATAACTCATTTAATATTTCCATCTCGTGCATCGCACGGGGTACGTATTAGTTTTTCTAAAAATCAAACTAAGTCCAAATTTAAACTGGTATACTTAAACTGAATTGTTTTAACTCAAAAAATACTCGAATTTATACTAATAAAAATCTTGGACTCAATTATAATAATAATCAAGAAATTATACTTCATTTCGAATAGACGAAAAGCTGAAAAATTTGAGAAAACGAAGCCTCAAACGATCGAACTCGTCCTCGACAAATTTGCTCCTTTTGATACTATTTAACGCAGAAATTCAAACCCCCATAATAAATGCTCGAAACTTCAAAAAATGCAAAATTTGTCCGTATGGTATCGTGCTTGAATTGTCTACACGCTCCAACTCGATTCTCGTTAAACCGAGGTCACACGCAACCTTACGGGACCCCGCAAAACGGCTTTTTATTCTTCTATTATACGCACTTGACTTTGAGCTTCTCAAAATAAATGCTCGAAACTTCGAAACGTGAAATAAATTTTACGAACGGCTTCTACTATTCTCGTGCTTTCAAGAAAGCACTTCCGCTAATTTTCAGCACGCCTAACGAGGGCCAACGATTACCCGAAGTCTAGACATGAAAATGACAATAAAATCACCGCCGCTGCCACTTTTTTCTCAACTTCGGGCTACCCAAAATAAATGGTCGGGACCTCAAAATCATAAATCGATGCCACCAACGCACTCTCCGCTTCCCGTACTTTCATAAAAGTATTTTTCGGTAATGATCGACTCGGTTTTTGAGTCCCGTCCGTACACTGCAAGTCGGCTAATTAATCAACTCAAAATATAATAAAAATAAAAAAATATTAAATTCGGCTGTTGTTATAGTTCTCCTTGTCCCGAAACCAGGATCCCGTTTCGGGGAGAGCCCAATTTACCTTTAAAAAATATTTTCACGGCAAAACCGGTGGCGCCCCTCCGACCATGTATGTACCGCATGAAACCGGGGAGGGCCCAACATGTGCGCTCAAAGGAAAATCTTCTAGTTCCAGCAAAATCGTCCACCTCTAGTTTAATTTTTTTTTTTTTTCGAGGGGTCGGCACCACTCCGACCCCCTTAATGGTTTCGCCACTGGTATAGTGCATGGGTAATAGATATTCGTTAATATTTATAAATTAAAATTTTTTTATTAAGTAATATTTATAAATTAAAAATATAGAATTAATATATAATACAATTTCCTATACTAATTTATTGAAAACGTTATATAGTGTTTAAATTGTAGTACAAAATTACACAAAAATGTCTACTTAGGCCATCTCCAACCGAAAAACACATACTCAAACTCATTTTGCAGTAACTACCCAATTTTGCAGTAATTCGTCTCCAACCGAAAAACTCATTTTTAAACCCAAAAGAATATTCTTTTTATATCAACTTTTATAA